ACCGGTCACATAGTCAGCGAGACCGCGGTAACTGTCTACCCTGAGTTCGGCTTGATGAGTGCGATCATAGTTCAGTCGATTCTGTTCAATCTTGACATAACTGTCCACTAAGAACTGCTGATAAAGCTTTCCCGCGAAGTGGAGAGGGTTGAAATAATTCCTTGCAGCTATCATACTGGAGTAGTATTCCTTCTGCGTTATTCTAGTTCGTCGTCTATCGGATGGATTCTTGAGCATATTTGGATGCCACCCTAATTCTCCTCGAGGGAAAAGTATTGGGTAAGTCAGAGGGTCGCATTCAGGGTCAATTACCCGGATTGTTTGCAATCCTCCGCCTCTAAGATGGACTGCAAGACTATGCTCTGCAGGAACATCCCCATCGTTGCCAACGTAAATCGCGGCTACTTCATTAGCTGTAGGAGCATTGTATCGACGGCGATCTACATTTGGGGGTGTTTCGAACACCATCCTCACCGCTTTTGCAGGTCTTCCTTCTCTGGCAGCGCACAATTCTTCCTCTACAGCCACTTCATGAAGCATCTTATATGCCGTGCGTAGACGTTAATTTGATGCAGAAGTTCACCTAACGACTGAATAAGCCGAGGGTTACAACTTGAATTGGCTGGGTTTCCCATCCTTTCCTCTGCTGCCATGGATGTATCTAGAATATATACCTGGCCATAGCGGTGGGGTTGCCCATCTTCAGGGAGCACTGGCCCTATTCTATGGTAAATCTGACCATGTATGCGAAAACAATAGGGACCGTGACCACGCGGGGTGTCCAGTTGTGCACCCATGGAGGCGAATGCAAATGCACTATTGTAGTTGCGAATATGCTCGCGAAACTCTTTTGCTTCTGTTTCCTGACTTGTAAGTAATTGGCAGAGCTCTACAGGGTAGTTATTGAAATGCCGCAAGCTTATGCTACCATGATTGCAGCAATCGTTGAAGGTCCTCTTACCCTTCAATTCCGACTTAAAATGTTTTGCTCCGCAGCTTTCACATGCAACATTCATTTGA